ATTGTATTACATGATCTCCTTTGCTCTTATATCCTCCATTTTCCCCCCTTTTTTTCCCGCGCTATGATATGCACGTATACTTTGCCTATATAAGACATCAATTCCTTATTCATTTCTTCATTCTTTCTTCTTCTGTTGAGTGCTGTGCGTTTGGATTATTCTTTGTACCACTTGTTTGATGTTTTAATATTGTGTTCTTATCATTGCTATGCCTAAGTTTGAGGTTCATAGTAACTGAAAGATTGCAATCAAACCCTAAATATTGTCACGGTGAGAAAAGAAGATGACATGCGTTGTGATACAATCCACTGAAGACGAGCTTGATTTTAGAGATGAATTTACCAGATGTTTAAGATATAACTTTGCAAATGTTTAAGAGATATAGAATTTGAACTGGAAGGATTTATATATGAATTACAATTGGTTAAATTATAAATAGAATAAATTTCTAAAATACAAGTATTCTTGTTTACATACAAAAATTATTTTGTAGAATTATACCGGTTTTCGTGATATTTTCGTAGGAAGGAAAGGAAGAATGTTTTAAGGGAAGAAAAATGTAAAGTGTAGTTGTTCATTAGGAAAATCTTGATCTTTTATTTTTTTTCCTTCATCCCTTCATAACTTTTGAACACTTCCCGAGTTTTTTTTATGGTAAAACAACATTATCAGCGAGATTTTTTTCCCGATTTCTAAAATAGTTTTTCTTCTGTAAGTTTCGCAGTTTAGCATGACTGATAATAAAAAAGAGGATGATGTTATCCCAAATAGAATTCTTTGAAAACAATAACATACTGGGCTTGCTTTGTGATTTGCTCTTAAATATCATTTAATTATAAGAATCAGGTACTGTTTCGCTATAATGGAAATAGTTCCAGTTGTAAAAATGTCTTTTCAATATTAGCTATTGTCACATCATTGTGAAGCGAAGCAAAATACCTGCCAAGTCCGACAGTGTAGTGGGACTGCGGTATAAGACATCATTCAAACTTTTTCTACCTTTGAGATGGACTGAAGCATCACAAACGATTCGTAATTTCGGCGTTGATTTATCTGAAATCAATACCCTATGATAACGATAATGATAATAATACATAATATCAGTCTGATTCATGTTTTCACTTCCTGGCGATGTTGGATTATTTTCGTTAATGAATTATTTCACTGTGTTGATTAAGCAGCGGCATGTCACTTTGACACCGTTGAATTAATATTTTCAGTCGTGCAGGAGAAAGACCATAGTTATTTTATAAGCTCGAACCTTTCCATGGCCAATAAACTTGGTATCTTTTGTTTTTCTTAATGATACCTTGTTTGAACTGTTCTAAAGTTTTCTCATCTTCCTGACCATTTGGTTGTTCTTGAATATATACTAATTCTAGTTTCAAGAACTGATCCATCTCTGAACTTGTAGTGACCTTTGCTACATTTATAGATTTCGTTCTAACTGCCTCTTTCCTGAGTTTGTATTGATTTTGGTCAGAACTATAAACTGCGTTAGTGTATTTACTATCAGCTATTATAGGACCAATTTTTGTGAAAATTGCGTAAAATCTTGGCAACATACTATGGGATTTATATAGAGCCATGCAATTAAAGAAGTAGTTAGCTCCGTTTTGTGGCTAAAGACAAAAAGATAATTTTTGGTGTGTTGAAGCAACTCAATTATGGGCTTGAGGATATGATTTATGGAGATAAGGTCAAGCAGAAATATCTCATAATACAGTGTAGCACAATGTCTCACGTGAACATATATGCCGTATGTTCCTGTAAGGTACAAAGCATCACAAACAAATACTTCATGACAGCAAACGTTAGACATTCATCACCGTTCGATATCGTTACCAAAGGATTGGCTTTTATAAAATATGAAAGAAATAGACAAATTGATGGAGTAAATTCATACCCGCATCAGGTAAACAGTTCGTGGTAAATCAAATGGAACATTTCTTTGAAGGGTAGCGTTATTCGACAGTGTGGTAAACGTCTGCGGGTCTTTTTTCCGGCTGTTTTATACGCGGCAGAAAAGTTATACATAATTATGCAATTGAACAACAAAAAACTATCAAAAGATTGCGGGTAATTTTTTCAATATTTTTATGTTACGTTGTCCATTACCGTAATTTTTTGGACGCATGATGTCGCAAAGCCGAGATTAAAATTAAAATCACCCGTAACATAAAAATGTTAAATTCATCAAGCACTTCATTATCTTGTAACTATTATCTCAAATTGTCAATTAAATGATTTATGCAAATGTTTATGATAGATTATCTATAAACCGATAGTTCTATAACATCAATCTTCAAATTCATAGTTTTTTATTCTAATTGATCGTTTTTATATTAACTCTACCTAATATTAAAATTCATATTTCATGAACAATAAAAACAACGACCATCCTTGAGAAACTCTGCAGCAGTTCTTAAAAATACACTGTATATTATTAATTTCAAGTCCAATAGAGCTATACCACAACAAGTTTAAACTAGTTAGATGGAGGTTGAGAGAATGTTGTCAAACAACGTATAACAAATTAAACATTTATGCAATTAAACAACAAAACGCTATCAAAAGGATGCAAAATCAGCGCTTGCCACCGACTCGTGGCTGCTGGGTTTTCGTTGGTTTTGGTATCTTCATCTTCGGTGGGGCAGCCTTCTTCTCCTAAAATCCAATGCTCGGTGTATGAAGCAATTTTTATTTGAAACAAAACATTATAAGTGAAGCA